CTCTCTGCTCTGTGTGCTGTTCTCTTCCCTTTCTCCCCTCTCCCCTCTCCCAGTACCCCTTTTGAGTTGCACGACGACAGCTACGTGCTCCGTGCCATGGGCCTCTGCGCCCCTCCCCTCTCGATGTCTTCCCGCCCTCCCCCTCCTCCCGCCGCTGCTGTGCCTCCTCTGGCTTCTCCCCCTGCGTCCACACCGACTCCTCCACCACGCACACAGCCACAGCCACAAACCCCTCTCCAGCAACCCCTTTCACAACTCCAGAAGCCACAACAACCCTTTTTGCAATCACAGCAGTCTCAGCAGCCCCGGCAACAGTCTGTGTCCCCACCTATGCAGCAGCAGCAGCCACAGTCCCACCAGCAGCAATCCCAGCAGCAGCAGCCACAGCAGCAGACACCACAGGACGGTGCGCTGGCAGCCACTCAGGCTGACCCACAGGTGCAGCAGCAGGTCGGGGTGAGTGGGGCGCTGGGTGGGCAGGCGCAGAGTGAGGCCGGGAGCACAAGCACTAGTGCAGCAGCCGGGGGTGCTCAGCTCTCCCAGCCTGGCAGCTGTCCGCCATACCCGGCACAGCAATACCAGCAGGGAGACATGGCAGCACAGGTCCCAGCGCAAGTGCCGACACACATGCCGCAGTTTCAGGCACTGGGGCCACCGGCAGTGCAGCAGCCACAGCCGCAGCAGGTGCAGCAGGGGATGCAGCGAATGGGCGGGCCGCCGGCTCAGATGCATGTAGGGGCGGAGGGATGGTGGGTGCTGGTGGTTCAAGCCAAGCAGGGGGTGCAAGCCAAGGGGTGCCCATGCAGGGGCAGATGCAGGGCTCTGAGTCGCAGCAGCAGCAGGTGCAGCAGCAGCAACAGTATCAGCAGCAGCATCAACTGCAGAACCAGCAACAGCAACAGTATCAGCAGCATCAGGGTTCGGCATCATATGGCATGCAATACCCAATGCGGCCTCAGCAGCAACAGCAGCAACAGATGCCACTGCAGCAGCAGCAACATTACCAGCAGCAGCAGCACCAGTACCAGCAGCAGCCACAGCAGCAGCAACAGCAGTACCAGTACCAGCAGCAGCAGCAACAACATTATTACCAGCAGTAGCAGCAGATGCAACAAATGCCAGTTGCAGCAGCAATGTGTTGGAAGCCCTACTGCAGCTGCGGGCAGCCAGGCGTTGACCGACGTATGTCGGTGCACGGATTGCCTGGCAGCTGCGGGTTGGCATGACCAAGGTGCACGGACTAAGACTATGTCTACTTTGTGTGGACTGGTCCGGAGATGCTCACGACGACCAGTGACTCTGACGAATCATAAGTAGTCGTGGCTATCGCGATGGTTTTTCGTGAGGAGCAAGGCAGCGTTTGCCTTGCTGGTTGGAGTTGCGTACACGGCAAACCCAACCTTGCTGAGTTGGGTTGGAGAATTGGGCGAGGCGCGTTCGCCCAACCCTTCGGCAATTCGGGGTGGTTGGTTACACCCGCAGCGCCACGCAACTTTGGTTGGGTTTGCACTTGCCTATATATTTGCATGCTTATTTGTACTTTGGATATATATATTTCTAGTGAACTTCTACTCTACTCGAATTTCGACCAAGTACTTTAAGGCAAACTCTGCCCAAATACCCCAGCGCCTAGCACGCTATTCGAATAGTTACTCTGTCGGAATCGCTCCACACTTTCCAGCGCTCTCGCTTTAGCATTCCTTCATGGTGCGGTGAGCGTGGAACGAACACGCGACCTATCGATTTTCACCGTCGTCGATCTACTACGTTCGTTCGTTCGACTTGGAGGCTGCATCTATAGCAGAGGACTATCATTGGTGTAAGTTGCGATTTATTTAATTTCCCTCCAGTGACGTTCTCGGACCCAAGGATAGGGCTTTTGGTATTTACTTACCATTTCGCCTGAGGACCCTTGTGAGGTGACCCCGAGGCGAGGGAATTAGTAAATAGCAGTTTATAATGGCTGATAGTTGGTCTGTAGAAAAGCCGCAGTAATGGCGAACGCGGAGGAGGCGAATGTTGACGTCAGTGAACTACACAAGCTAGAGGAGATTCTGCACACGCGTCGTTCTCGCGGAGAGATTAATGACGAGGATTATGAGCTAAAGCTGGGAAGGGATTCCGAGCGAGGTGGCGACGTGACCACCCTTCTCTTTCCGGTAGCGGAGAATGCGCAGGCTGGAATTCCGCAAGGTGCATCAGTGACGGTTAGCGACGATGAAGATAGAGCTAGTGTGGCGAGCGAGCGCGTTTCACTCGTGGCGTTCTCAGAGGAAACGTACGCGGTAGCACTGCTAGTATGGGCGGCGTCCAGGAGCGTGTGCATCAAGCGGCAGCATCGCGTGAGCGCGACGAGATAGGGCGGCGAAGCGTTTGTTGGAGGAGGACATGTAGAGGAGCGCGATAGTGACGTTATGCCCGGCATTATACCGCAAAGCTCTGCGGTAAGAGACGTCGGGATAGCGCCTGACAACGGCTACTTTAAATTCACTCCAGACAAGATCGCCGTGCCTAGGCCGTTAGAAGGGCGTCACGACCTGTCATCTTGGGTAGAATCGATTGAGCCCCAACTCGAGATAGCTCAGCTCAAACGCTTTATCGACGGCTCCACCCCTACTCCTCCGAAGCACGCAGTAGCACTTCTCTCGCAATTCCGAGCTGCTCAGTTACTGACGTTTACGACCATTTCTCGTTGTTGCTCCCCCAAGTGCAAGTCGCCCTTAAAGCATGTCGCTTGAAGGTAGATGCCGGGTTGCAAGCCTGGCAATTCATCATGCAAATGTACATGGCGAAGGACGATTTATATCTAGGTCAGTTAGAGCAGGCGCTCACTAACCTCGAGATGGGCGAGCATGAGTCCGCCACGTCTTACTGTAACCGTGCACAGCAGCTTCTCGTAAATCTCAGAATGGCTGGCGTAGACTACTCGCAGGCGCCGTACATTACCCACGTTGTAAAGGGGTTACCGCAGCATTATAATCTCTTACGTCGTATGCTGAAGCTGCCGCAGGTGCGCGGCGAGTTAGACGACGACACCCTCGCTAGTTACATAATAGAAGAGGAATGCACTTTGGCGGCAGAAGGGCGAAAGGACTTCTTCCCTTCCCAAGGCAAACCTGACCTTCCCAAAGAGGTTTGGCAAGCCATCATTCCTCCCAAAGCAAGATACGCTTCCTGCCCCTTCCCCATCCACTCCTGTGCAACAGCCATCGGCGAAGCAGTCAAGCGGGGGTGGAGAAGGCGAGGGGAAGGGAAAAGGGGCGAAGGGGAAGTGCAGAAAGAGGGGAGAAAGCCTTTCAAGGGGAAATGCTATTCGTGTGGCCAGCCAGGGCATGTCGCTTTCCATTGCCCAGAGCGCAAGGACAAGGTAGCGCAGAAGGGCAAGGGAGTGGGGGTGCTAGTGGGGGTGGCGGCAACTGCAAGGAGGGCAGCAGTTCGGGGGGCGGAGGGCAATCCACCTGCGCGATGGTGGAACCAATCCTAGCGCAGCAGTCTTCGATCTTATTGGAACCGGAGGCCGGGGAAGGCTTGCAGGCTGTTGCAGTTGCTGTGAAAGCCAACCCGAGTGTTGTGCTTTTGGACAGTGGATGTTCCCACCACTTGATGGGAGATCGGGCGGCATTTGTGGAGCTGATTAATGATAGTTCCATAAAGCCAGGTTCGCGGGTTCAACGGCGCGATACAGCCAGTACAAGGGAGGGGCACCATTGCTCTCCTAGGAGAGGGAGGCAAGCGTGTCTTAGTACCGGATGTGCTGTATGTGCCAGGGGTGCAGGCTAGTCTTCTCTCCTCAGGGCAGTTGCGGGATACCGGAGTGCAGCTGTTGGATACAGGGGAGTGGACACTCATGCGTGCTCGTGATGGATCCCTTCTGGGGCGTGCGGAATCCAAGGGGCGAGTGCTGTGTACTGACCTCAAGCCGTGGCCTGCTGAGCGTGCTGTGGGCGAGACTGTGGCACTTCGGGCATTGGCTCCGGCGTGCGGTCGTCGGCTGACATGTGGCACGCTCGCCTCGCCCACGTTGGTGTTGACACCATTCGGCGTACTGCAGCTCATGGGTCAGTGGTGGGCTTGGAGCTGGAGAAAGGGGGAAAGTCGGTACTGCCTTGCGTTTCTTGTGTGGGGGGGAAGATTACCCGTCATACCTTCCCTCCCATGGGTGGCGAGGAAGATGAGGTGCTTGGAGTTATGCATGGCAGACCTCTGCGGACCCTTTCGGGAGCGGGCCAAGGATGGGAGCCCGTTACTTCCTGGTGCTGAAGGATCGGAAGAGCCGGTATGTCTGGGTCTACACACTGGCGCAGAAGAGTGACGCCTTGGCTGCCTTCGAGAAGTGGCTGCCCTTGGCGGAGCGGCAGTGTGGGATGCGGATGAAGGCGCTGCGCTCTGACCGTGGCGGCGAGTTCGTGGGCGCAGCATTCACTGCCTTCCTCGACCAGCGCGGCATCGAGCACGACCTCACCTATCCCTACACGCCGGAGCAGAATGGAATGGCGGAGCGGGAGATGCGGAGCATTGTGGAAGCTGTACGGACGATGCTGCTGCACATGGGTGTGCAGCACCACTGGTGGCATGTGGCGGTGGCGCAGGCAGTCTGGGTGCGCAACCGTGTGGAGCACGCCTCTCTGCCCGATGGCGTCACCCCGTATGAACTCGCCTTCAGTCGTAACCTGATGTTAGTATGGTGCGCATCTGGGGCTGCATGCTGCAGTACATGGTGCCGCAGTCTCAGCGTGGGGGAAAGCTCGTGCCTAAGGCCCGCAGGGGGTTGCACTTGGGTGTGTCTGCAGTCAGCAAGGGATGGCATGTTTTGGACTTGGAGTCCAATCGCCTGGCCACCACTTCGGGAGGCCGTCTTTTATGAGACGATGTCTCTTGCTGGGTGGAAGGCATGGCATTAGCAGGAGCATGCTGGGCAACCACTACCCTATGAGCCCCTCCCTTCCTCTTCCCAGATGTGCTTTCGGAGGAGGTTGAGGAGGCGGAAGTGGTTGTCCCTCCTGCCCTGCCCTTTGTGCCCATCTCTGTGCCGACCCCTTTCCCTTCCTCCGTGTCTCCTCGGGTCGCCCCTCTTGCCCCACCTGCTCCTCCTCCACCACCTCCCGCATCTCCTCCCTCTTCCTCTTCCCCTCCTGCTATCCCACCTACTCCTAACCCCTCCTCCCTCCTGCGTCACCCTCCCCTTCCCCTCCGCCGGCGCTGCCCGTCGGTGAGGGGGGTGTGTTGGAGCCTCCGTCTCTTGTGTTCACCGACGGACAGCTTCCGACTGCGGCGCAGCAGTGGGAAATGGGAGTAAAGGGAGAGCTGACGGAGCTAGTGGGCTTGCAGCAGCAGCAGCCGCAGCAGCAGGGTGAAGGAGATTCGCAGCAGCTGGGCGAAGGGGACCAGCAGCCGCAGAATGAAGGAGAAGGGGGAGAGTGGAGTGGCAGTCGCGTATTGGCTTCAGGGACCATTACTCCAGACTTGCGTCGCTCTACCCGCATTACGAGGGGAGTTCCGCCTGTTCGTTATGCATGGGCAGTGGTGGTTGAGCCGGGACTGGATGATGCCAACGAGGATGAGGAGTGGACTGAGCTTGATCCGGATGGGGAGACAGACCCGGAGAGACAGTGGGACATTGGGAAGATGACAGTGACTGAGGCGTTGGGGTGCTGGAAAGGGGACCGTGTCGAAGAGGCAATGGATGAGGAGATGCGGACGTTACTCGAGCAGGAGACTTGGGAACTCGTAACACCACCACCCGGGGTTAACATCATGAAGAATCGCTGGATCCTGAACACCAAGTACCGGTAGGATGGACGAGTGGGAGCGAGAGAAGGCGAGGCTTGTGGTCAAGGGGTTCACTCAAGTCGCAGGAGTGGACTTTGAGGAGACCTATGCACCTGTGGGGAGTTGCGTGACAGCTCGCATACTGCTGGCAGTGGCAGCTGCGTTGGATATGGAGCTGATGCAGTTGGATGTGAAGAACGCATTTCTTCACAGCGTGTTGGACAGAGATCTCTACATGGAACAACCCAAGTATTACGAGGATGGGACTCCTCGTGTCTGCAAGCTGCTGAAGAGCCTGTACGGACTCAAGCAGAGCCCGATGCTCTGGTATGAGGCCTTGGATGGGGTGCTGCTTGGGGCTGGATGGTGCAAGAGCCAAGTGGATGAGGCTCTTTACTTCGAGAGCAATGAAGGGGATGAGATGTGCTGGCTGCTTGTGTATGTGGATGACCTGCTAGCGGCCAGCTGCAGTATGGACCTGCTGGGGGAGCTGTGTGAGCTGCTGCAGGGTGCATTTCAGCTGAGAGAGATAAACCCATTGAGAAATACTTGGGGTTGCAGCTGATACGCGATAGGCCCTCCCGGAAGCTGTGGCTGCACTAGTCGGCCTACGTGGAGAAAGTGCCGCGGCGCTTTTTGGCTGGGGAGCTGCCTCACCGTATGCCACGGACCCCTCTCTCCTCCGACCCATTCAGTGAGCTAACATTTGAGGATGAGGGGTGGCAGTCCAGGCAGGAGGAGGGATCCTTGCAGTTTGCGGCCTGTACCACACGCCCTGACATCGCTTTCGCATGCAGTAAGCTGGGGTCAGGACAGACAGTGCGCAGTGATCAGCACTGGAAGGAGCTGGAGCGGTGCTGACCTACTTGGTGGGGACCAAGGATGCAGCCTTGGAATTCAGTGGGGGTCCAGCGTCCTTGGAGCTGATAGGGTACGCAGACGCTGATGATGCAGGAGACAAGCAAAATCGAAGCAGCACAGGAGGTTACGTCTTTGTGTTTGGCGGTGCTGCAGTTGCTTGGGCGAGTCAGAGGATTCGTTGTGTCACTCTCTCCTCTACTGAGTCAGAGTATATTGCGGCAGTTGAAGCAGGGAAGGAGGCTCGCAGACTGCGCTTCCTTCTGGCAGAGTTTCAGCTGCTCAAGCGTGAGGAGCCGACGACACTCTTTGTCGATAATTCATCTACGATTGCTGTGGCAGGTGGCATGGGGCTCAAGGGGAGTCTCAAGCACATGGAGCGGCGTCACATGTGGCTGCAGCACATGGTCAAGCGCAGGAAGCTGGACCTGCAGTACATCCCTACCAGCGAGCAACCTGCTGACTATCTTATTAAAGCGTTACATTTCCCAGCCTTTTCCCGTTGCTTTGATACAGTGGGACAAGTGAGGACACATGCGATGGCCTTCACTTCAAGCCCTTTCCGTATTTCATCGCTGTGGTGCTGGTCCAAGGAAGCGGATGAAGAGCATGAGGCGTGGAAGGAAGGAGAAAGGCTGGGGTGAGTACGACGAACGTGCATTGGCAGCATTCCGTGACTATGAGCGTATATGTGCATACGCTTCTGGCTCTTCGTAGGTTTCTGCTTGTGATGGTGCCATGGCCTATCCATGGCTGGTGCGGTGTGTGTTTCAGATGAAGAAATATTGCAAGCGTACTGTTGATGCATAGGACTCTTGCGTGTGTGCTCTGTGTTCCTTTTTGGCTTGTATGCTTGTATGTGTGTGCCCTGTGATTATAAAGGGCCTTGCTGTAGTAATGCAGGGGAGTGTTGGAAGCCCTACTGCAGCTGCGGGCAGCCAGGCGTTGACCGACGTATGTCGGTGCACGGATTACCTGGCAGCTGCGGGTTGACGTGACCAAGGTGCACGGACTAAGACTATGTCTACTTTGTGTGGACTGGTCCGGAGATGCTCACGACAACCAGTGACTCTGACGAATCATAAGTAGTCGTGGCTATCGTGATGGTTTTTCGTGAGGAGCAAGGCAGCGTTTGCCTTGCTGGTTGGAGCTGCGTACACGGCAAACCCAACCTTGCTCAGTTGGGTTGGAGAATTGGGCGAGGCGCGTTCGCCCAACCCTTCGGCAAATTCGGGGTGGTTGGTTACACCCGCAACGCCACGCAACTTTGGTTGGGTTTGCACTTGCCTATATGTTTACATGCTTATTTGTACTTTGGATATATATATCTCTAGTGAACTTCTACTCTACTCAAATTTCGACCAAGTACTTTAAGGCAAACTCTGCCCAAATACCGCCAGCGCCTAGCACGCTATTCGAATAGCATTACTCTGTCGGAATCGCTCCACACTTTACCAGCACTCTCGCTGTAGCATTCCTTCACAATGCAGCAACAACAGCAGGGGGGTTCCCCTCAGGGATGCCCCAACACCATGCAGGTAAACCCTGCTTTTACCCCACCACAACCCACATCTACTGCTGCTGCCCCTCCACCCACCCCTGGTGCTGCCATGGGTGGTGAGTCAATGGTTCAAGGCTCTGGTGGGCTGGAGGGGCCAGGGCAAGGCTCAGTGGGGGAAATGCAGCAGATGCAGCAGCAGGGAGGCTTTGGGCAAGGGCAGGCGCAGGGGAGCATGGCGGGAGGGGCGATGGGGGATGGTGGGGTTGGCACCAGGGAGGCGCACATGCAAGGGGGATATACCAGGGCGAGTCAGAGTGAGTTATGAGTCACCTCGTCACCGCGTAATGGGAAGGTTGATGGGGTGGCGTGGTTGCTACTAGGGAGGCGCATATGCAAGGCGGGAATACCGGGGGAGTCTATGTGCAGCGGCCGAGTGCAGGCTGTGGTGGGTTCCAACCTCAATCGGCAAACGCTGGCTATGGTGGTGCGGTGAATGGGAGTGTAACAAGAGTGTAATGAAGTAAGTAATGGCCACTGAGCCAGCTAATCAAGCAGCTAGCTTTCTGTGATGTGGTATGGATCGTCATGACTCGTGCCCGTGTTGCCTAGATGCTTTTCTTTGTTACAAATGCTATCCTAACGTACAGCGTCAACTGCGTACTGTACTGTGGGCTTATGGTTCCTAGAAACATTGACTCCTTGGTCAAGATTCAAGAATCTTGTAGGATTAAGAACGGAGGAAGGGGCGAGAGGGTGGATAAATCTACCTACATATATGTGTGCACTTCATTCTGATTAATCAACTTGTCCTCACGTACCAGTAACACAGCATGGTTCACAGCAAGCGCATGGTGCACTCCTAAGTGTCTGTGTAGTTGATTCCACTCCATAACACATTACCGGTACATTACACAATCGTGCAATTGAAAGAAAATATTTGTGGCCACGCCACATCACCCTTCCCCCCATCGTGTGAGAGTGTCATCAGAGTAGTTGAGCTGCCGGCGGTGCCTCACAATGTCAGACTCGTACCCCCTGCCGCCTCCGCAATTCCACGACCCTGCGAGGAACACATCGGCATGCGCACACACCAGCTTGTCCAGTATTCCCACAATGCCTGCACGCGAGAGAGGGGGGACGGGGATGGGATGGGAGTGGCGCTGAGAGGAGGCCGAGGAGCTGTTTGCATGTGACCTTATGCGACGCCACCACTATGCCGCGGAGCATACACTGAACCTGGTCCAAGGACAACCCTGAGGGACCATCATGGCTTCACCACAACTACACTGTGGATTCACCATGGCCTCCACAGGGAAGAGTGTGAGTGTGAAGGTTTTGGGAGACGCAGCTTGGACGAGCTGTGAGAAGCTCTTGGCTACAAGGGGGCAAGATTGAGGATTCCATTTGTGAGGCGCCTAAAAAATAGACTCCTCACGCAAGATAGCAAAGCAGCTTACTAGTACCAATCAAGGGAGCACTCGGCTTGTTGCAGTTTGGATCCATATTACACCCAGCGAGTAGCTTCTTCAGCAAATCAAGCACTTTCCTTTCCCATTGTGATGCAAAATGCATCAGACTTCATGCGCTGTTGCGAGCACGCACCGATACCCCCAGAGTCCATTGGGCTAAACTTTGGGCTTCCAAATGTACATTTTTTAGTCGACTCAAAAATCACCTTTCCATACCCATTCTGGTTGTCGTAGAATGTGCCTCGGAATGTGCCTCGGAATGCGCCTCGGAATGTGCCTTGCTCAGAGCATGGCCTTGCTCAGAGCATGGCCTTGCTCAGTGCATGGCCTTGCTCAGAGCATGGCCTTGCTCAGAGCATGGCCTTGCTCAGAGCATGGCCTTGCTCAGTGCATGGCCTTGCTCAGTGCATGGCCTTGCTCAGAGCATGGCCTTGCTCAGTGCATGGCCTTGCCTTGCTCAGGCATGGCCTTGCTCAGAGCATGGCCTTGCTCAGAGCATGGCCTTGCTCAGAGCATGGCCTTGCTCAGAGCATGGCCTTGCTCAGAGCATGGCCTTGCTCAGTGCATGGCCTTGCTCAGTGCATGGCCTTGCTCAGTGCATGGCCTTGCTCAGAGCATGGCCTTGCTCAGTGCATGGCCTTGCTCAGAGCATGGCCCTGCTCAGTGCATGGCCTTGCTCAGAGCATGGCCTTGCTCAGAGCATGGCCTTGCTCAGTGCATGGCCTTGCTCAGTGCATGGCCTTGCTCAGTGCATGGCCTTGCTCAGAGCATGGCCTTGCTCAGTGCATGGCCTTGCTCAGAGCATGGCCTTGCTCAGAGCATGGCCTTGCTCAGTGCATGGCCTTGCTCAGTGCATGGCCTTGCTCAGTGCATGGCCTTGCTCAGTGCATGGCCTTGCTCAGAGCATGGCCTTGCTCAGAGCATGGCCTTGCTCAGTGCATGGCCTTGCTCAGTGCATGGCCTTGCTCAGTGCATGGCCTTGCTCAGATCATGGCCTTGCTCAGAGCATGGCCTTGCTCAGTGCATGGCCTTGCTCAGATCATGGCCTTGCTCAGAGCATGGCCTTGCTCAGTGCATGGCCTTGCTCAGAGCATGGCCTTGCTCAGTGCATGGCCTTGCTCAGTGCATGGCCTTGCTCAGAGCATGGCCTTGCTCAGAGCATGGCCTTGCTCAGGCATGGCCTTGCTCAGTGCATGGCCTTGCTCAGTGCATGGCCTTGCTCAGAGCATGGCCTTGCTCAGTGCATGGCCTTGCTCAGAGCATGGCCTTGCTCAGTGCATGGCCTTGCTCAGAGCATGGCCTTGCTCAGAGCATGGCCTTGCTCAGTGCATGGCCTTGCTCAGTGCATGGCCTTGCTCAGTGCATGGCCTTGCTCAGAGCATGGCCTTGCTCAGAGCATGGCCTTGCTCAGAGCATGGCCTTGCTCAGATGGCCTTGCTCAGTGCATGGCCTTGCTCAGTGCATGGCCTTGCTCAGAGCATGGCCTTGCTCAGAGCATGGCCTTGCTCAGAGCATGGCCTTGCTCAGTGCATGGCCTTGCTCAGAGCATGGCCTTGCTCAGAGCATGGCCTTGCTCAGAGCATGGCCTTGCTCAGAGCATGGCCTTGCTCAGTGCATGGCCTTGCTCAGTGCATGGCCTTGCTCAGAGCATGGCCTTGCTCAGTGCATGGCCTTGCTCAGAGCATGGCCTCAAGTAATTCCTTACCCCGACCCTTTTCGACCACATGATCCCTACAATGTTTGCGTGGTGTGATGTGCCCACCTCATATTCAATAATTACCGTTCAGTGCCCTAAGTAACATCGAGGTGCTAACGCACAACCACTTCCCTATCGAGCATCCCCGCTTCTCTATCAAGCACCCACTCCCTGTATGCCACTCCTTCCCCTTTGCTCCCTGCAAAGGGGTTCGCTTCGTTCGACTCCATCACTGAGAAGCCGGCACTCTGCGGGCTCACGTGCCCAGTCCCCTCCCCAGCCTACTCCAAGTCCGCGGGGCCTCGTCTTCGCGCCTTCCCCAGGATGGGATCCTCCCAGAGGGACTCTCCCTTGCTGCCCACGGCGTCCAGGTGCTGGGAGGCCATTGGGACTCCGGCCTTTTGCTCGGGGTACATCGGCAGCACTCTCGTTGACTCGGTTGCTCCCCTCGGCCCCCTCCCCCGGCTCGCTCTCTCTCCTGCAGCTCTCCCACTGCGTCAGCCGCCGGGTGACGTTCCTTGAACGCACCTTCCCAGTGCATGCCCCACCAGTCCCCGGGTAGCCTGATTGGAGCTTGCAATGGCTCTCAGACACCATCGCCGCCCTCCTCCCACCCGTGTCACCCACTCCGACACCATCAGGGACCTCGAAGCCTGCCGCTCTGACAGGCGTCGGCAGTCCTTCCTAGAGAACCACGTGGGCCGTTACCAAGTGTCAAGACCACCTGGAGCGCCGCCTCTCGCTGGAAGGTCACGCCTGCAGCGCCGGCGCCCTGCTCACGGTGAGGACGCTAGAGGCGTTGTCTACCATGGCCTGCCAAGATGGCCCGTGCAACGCCCACCTGGCGTTCCACCTGGGGAAAGCCATGTGCTCACCTCGTAATGACCCCAAGAAGGTGCGCATCATTGCACTCAGGAGGACCAGAGAGACACCGGACTCAGGATAAACTAGGATAACAGAAGTGGGGTTCAAGGGAAATCAAGGTCGTAACATGTACTCAGACGGATGAGCCCGCAAGTGGCCGGTTTCACATCCTAGCGCCGCCAGACATTTCCTAGGGATGGCCGTGGCAGCTAGCTAGGATGTGTGCCTTTCGCCAGACATTTCCTAGGGATGGCCGTGGCAGCTAGCCGGACATGAAAAGATGGGACTATTCAATGCATGCTTTGTTCAGCCGCACCTACCATGTGCACCTTGTACCACGGTTCTCTGCAATACAAGGACCTCTACGCCACTTTGGAGGAAGATGACCCCTAGTTGGGGCTGCAGGGGAGGGGCGAAAGGCTGTGGGAGGGGAACATCAGGGCTGAGGCCTTATGATAGGTTCTGGCTAGACAACACCAGAAAATCGCAACTGTCTCCTCACGATCCCCCTCTTCCCCTCCCTATGGCTCGCACCCCCTCACTTCGCCATAGCCCTGGCCTTCCGCCTCGGCCTCCCATTCCCCACGCCCAAGGCATGCAACTGCGCCAAAAGGGCGGGGATCCTGGACCCCAGGTTCCCAAACCTCCTACTCTGCTGCGGGACAGGGCACGGCTGCACCAACACCCACAACGCCCTCCAAAACGAGTGCATCTGCATGGCCCGGGATGCACAGCTCATCGTCACGACGAACACAGTGATATACAACCCGGTCGCAACCCGGTCGCAGGGAAAACCGCTGACCTGGCCATCCGGGACCAGGACTCCGGGGCAGTCTGGATCTGCGACATTACCATCACCAAATCAGTCGGCTCCCCAGACCCGCTAGCCTGCAAGGGCCGAGGCTACCTGGCCAGGGAACAGGCAGACAAGAAGATAGACGACTACCGCCACAGGGCGGCATACATCGGGTTCTTCCCGTTGGCCGTGGAGACATACGGCTGTCCATGCGCCGGAGTACCCACCTTCCTCAAGCTACTGGCACACACGGCTGCCCGCCGCTTTTTAGACGTGGACCCCAGCTTATACCAGGCGGCCAAACTGCTCAGTCAGTTTCGCCAGCACTGGTCCGTCACCCTCCAAAGAGGACAGGCCCTCACGTACCAGAGGGAGTTGAACGAGGCCTCGCCGCTGGAGTGCCCCCGCTGTGGGCGCTCCTGATGCCGGCATGTCACTGCGGGACGGCTTTGCCGTGATTGAGCCCCAGGGGGGAGGTGCTGTAGGCTACAAATCCTGCTTGCCCCGACACACTTGCTTATCCTCACCTTACCTGCGTAGCTTGTGCCCAGGTTTCCAGTTTTAAGGTGCCTCAAAACTGTACCCAGGTTTCCAGCAATGAAAGACCGTTCGAGAGAGATCCACCTCACCTGGGTCGAGGGTATTGACATGCGGCATGAGCTCGTCTATCATGACAGTGCCATTCACGTTCTCCCGCAGCCGCCGCAGAGCAGCCAAGGGCAGCTGAGCCACCAGCTGGTCGCCCCCATATGCCTGCACCGTCTCCTCCCATGAGTCCGACCGGGCCGGTGTTGTGGACGCATTGAACGGCACGTCTGCTGCGATGAACACCGACACCCTGCTGCTGCCGCCGCCGCCGCTGC